ACAGGCACGTGCTACCATGCCCGGCTAATTTTTTGATTTATTGTAGAGACGAGGTCTTGCCAAGTTGCCCAGGAGGGTCACGAACCCACGGGTTCAGGCAATCCACTCACCTCAGCCTCCCAAGGCATGGGATTACAGGCTGAGCCACCGAGCCTGGCCCGACTAATTTTTTGATTTATTGTAGAGAGGTCTCGCCATGTTGCTCAGGCTGGTCTCAAACCCCTGAGCTCAGGTAATCCTCCCGTCTTGGCCTCCCAAAGTGTTGGGATTACAGGCTTGAGCCACTGTGCCTGGTGATAAAAAGTAAAATTATTTTTAAAAAGTAAACAATAATAATAATGTAGGCAGTAATTTATCTGTAGACATAGTTATACATGTGTAAAAGGATGTGTGGACAAAGAAACTTGACACTGTTTGTAAATGCAAGTAATTGGTGACAACAGACATGTCCACCCATTAATTTATGGTACATTCATTTAGTGGAACACCACATGGCTGAATGAATGAGGGAGACTATTGACAAAAGACAATGTACAGGGCAGTATCTTTATGATGGACTTTTAGGTAAAAAAAGGAATACACATGTGACGGGGGACCCCCACAAAACTGGAATCATCTTTTGGAGGGCGGGCCCTGGTAGTGTAGGCTTCCCCGGCTAGGTATGTGATCTAGGAACCCACTGGCATCAGTGCACCAGCTAGCGTTGTTGTGAGAGGCTACATTCGGCTTCAGTGTGTTCTTTCTGGAGAGTCTTTCAATGCCTTTGCCCATTTCACGATGAATGATTTACAAGCACATCTGCCCACACCACGTTGGGTGTTCAGCAGTTTTTGACCATAAAAGGCATTACCCATGTGCCCCACCCTGCCTATTCAAGATTGGTCTTGCCTTGAGCAACTTTTTTGTTTGTTTGTTTCCCAGAAGAAAAAAATTCTCAAAAGGAAAGGTTTTGCGGATGTGGAAGAGGTGAAACCAAAAAGGGTAGAAGCACCTAAAGGCATCTAAATTGGTAAGTTCAAAAACTGAGTGGAAAAAGTGTCTCCAAAGGTATATTGAATCAGAGAGTACTTTGAAGGTGGAATTTAAACATGTAAGAATAAATACACAATTTTTTATAAATAAATTTCAGGGTTTTGGGGGTCCCCCTCCTATAAGATTATACACGCATTGCCTCTCTGGAAGAAAATGGCAATATATGATAAGTTTAGGGAGGGAACTGGATGGGTGGGAACAAAACTGTGAAGATGATTTACTTGTCACTGTAGTGATGTATTGTAAAGAGCACATGCTGGGTTTAATCCCAGTTCTACCTCTTACCAGCTGTGTAATGTTGGGCCAGTTAACATCTCTGGGCCAGTTTCTTCAACTGTAACACAGGGATGATCATAATAACACCTACATCACAGGGTTGGTGTGATGATAAGCGAGTTAAAAATAACTCAGACTTCAGAACCATGCCTAGATCTGTCAAGTGAGTGGAAAAATTTGCTACTATGGCTTTTCCATACCCTTTGGATATGCTGTAGTATTAACTATTCAAATAATAAAACTCATTGTTACAAGAATGCAAGGGTAAAAAAGGCAAAGGATCAGTTTCAGGGTGAATAAACAAATTTTCTCTTCAAGTAATTTAAATGCTGGGTGTGTTAGCTCCCAGTAACTCTGCATCTCTGTACTGTGGGGTCACATGTATGTTTGGGGGCTGGAGGTGATGCCCTGAGCTTGATAGAGAGGGGTCTGCACCCTGGCATGCAAATCATCCTTCAGTCTTTCTGTTCTATCCCAAACCTTCCTGCCTTTCTGATTAGAAATGACAAAGGTGTAGACAAAAAAACAGACCTTGGGGGAAAAATTTTCATCACATTCATTCATTCAATTCATTCTACAAATATCTATTGAGGATCTGCTCTCATCAGACCTAACAAAATGCATGGCAAACAAGATCCCTGCTTTAAGAGCTTATGTTCAAAAGGGGAGGGACAGATGAGCCATTACAAGATTTCTGCAGACAGTGCTCTGAAACAAACATACCAGGCTATTGTCCCAGAAAGTGACTGTGGGAGGGCAATGTTGGACAGGAGGGCAACATAGGACTTGCCCGGGTGGAGAGGGCTTTCTGAGGGGTGAGGCTGGAGCTGGTCTTAAGGGTGAGCAGGAGCTGGCTGTGGCAAGTCGGTAAGAGGAAGAGTGTGCCAGGCAGAAGGAATTAGGACTGCAAAACTCCAGGGTTGGGAAGGACACAAAGAAGGGTCACATGACTGGAGCCTGCTTAGGAGGGGGAAAGTTAACTGGAAGAATCTTAGTTGTAACCTTTTTTTAAACTTACATTTTTTTTTTTTGAGTTGGAGTCTTACTCTGTCTCCCAGGCTGGAGTGCAGTGATATCATCACGGCTTACTGCAGCCTTGAACTCCTGGGCTCAGGCAATCCTCCTGCCTCAGCCTCCCAAGTAACTGGGACTATGGGCATGAGCCATCACACCCACCTAATTTTCTGATCTTTTTTGTAGCGATGAGGTCTTGCTATGTTGCCCAGGCAAGTATCAAACTCCTAGGCTCAGGCAATCCTCCTTCCTCAGTCTTCTAGAGTGCTTAGATTGCAGGCATGTACCTTTGTGCCCGGCCCATTTTTTACTTATTTATTTTTTTGAGTAGGAGTCTCACTCTGTCACCTAGGCTGGAGGGTAGTGGCATGCTCCTACTGGCCACCGCAGCCTTGACCTGCTGGGCTCAGGCCCTTCCACCTCAACCTTCCAAGTAGCTGGAATTACAAGCATGTGCCACCACAGCCGGCTAATTTTTTGACTTATAGAGATGAGATCTTGCCAAGTTGTTCAGGTAGGTCTGAAACCCATGGACTCAGGTAATCCTCTCACCTAGCCCTCCCAAAGCTCTGGAATTATAGGCATGAGCCACCGCACCTGGCCTAGTCTGCATTTCATTTTTTAAGAGCTGGGGTCTCACTCTGTAGCCAAGGCTGGAATGCAGTGGCGTGATCATGATTCACTGCAGTCTTAAACTTCTGGGCTCAAGTGATCCTCCCGGCTTGGTCTCCTAAATAGCTGGGACTACAGGTGAGTGCCACCATGTCCAGCTACGTTTTTTAATTTTTGTAGAGACAGGGTCTCGCTATGTTACCCAGAGCTCCTGGGCTTGAGCAATTCTCCTGCCTCCTGAGTAGTTGGGATGTGAGGTCTGCTCCACCCTGCATGCTGAGTCTGCATTTTTAACAGACTGCCCCAGGCAATTCTGATGCAGCTGGTGCAAAAGACTTTGTCAGAGAGGGACCCAAGGAAGAGATGTGTTGTTGCTGCTTGTTCGTTGAAGGCTGACTTCCAAGTGTCTGCAATAGCCACTGCAGAGCTCTAAGCTGTGTAGGGATAGGGGCCCACAGGAGCAGCATGAAACACAATTCTTGTACTCTTGGAGCTACTTCAATGAATCTGGGGACCAGGTGAAGGGATGCTCTTAAGAGAAAATGGTGACATCATCTCTCGACGGGTGGGGTGGAATGCCACAAGAAAGAGCACAGACAGCATCCCCAGTCTAACTTGGGAATGCAGATGCCCCACGAACTGAGCCATCATTTTAATTAAATGAGCAGAGCAGGCAAAAGGAAAAACAATGTTGCCAGGATTGGGATTGGGTGGGAAGGTGACTCAAAGGGAGAGAGTAAAAAAATCAGGGAATGGCTGGGTATGGTGGCTCATGCCTGTAATCCCAGCATTTAGGGAGGCGGAGGCAATAGGATTGCCTGAGCCCACGAGTTTGAGACCAGCCTGGGCAACATGGCAAGACCTCATCTCTACAATAAATAAAAAAATTAGCTGGGTATGGTGGTATGTGCCTGTAGTCCCAGCTACTTGGAAGGCTGAGGTAGAAGTATTGCCTGAGCCCAGTAGGTTGAGGCTAAGGTGGCCATGAATGTGCCACTATATTCCGGCCTGGGCAACAGAGTGAGACTTAAACTAAAAAAATAAATAAATAATAACCAACCAAACCAAAAAAAAAAAAATCAAGGAAACAGAGTAAAAGGTGGAGACAAAATGAGAATGAGAGGAAATTCTTTCTGAAAGGCCACTTTATTGATGGAGATAGAACGGAATGGGGTTCCCCACAGCCCTCCCCTCACTCATGTCAGTGGCTTCACTGGGCATCTGAGACCCGTGTGGCCAGTGGCCTGCACGGGCCGCTCCACGCAGGCGGCCACATAAAAACACATCACAGCACATGAAGATTCGTGGATGTACCTTGGAACCCCCCCACAATGGTCTCTGTGCATTTTTTAATATTGTACAAAATATGTTAACTAGGAAAAGTTAGCTGTACTGTGACAGGTGCAGGACATCCTTAGAGGATTACCGTCCCCAGAACATGACTTCTTATTGCAGTAAGACCTCTAAAAGGCAGAGCTGTACAAACAAACAAACAAATCTAAATGATTTTAAGAACAGCAGCAACTCAACACTGCTTTAGTTCATTTAAATTTTCTTTCCCAAAAATACATTCCTAAATATACAAACTATACAATCTTGTCATTTTAATGCTGGTTTTTTTGTTTCTGTTTTTTTTTTAAATTTTTTGTTTTTAATAATAACAATAGAACCCAAACTAAAAAAATCTGTTCATCTTGAAACCAAAAAGAGTGCTAGAGGACTTGTGACTCGGTACCTTCATATAACACCACATAAATAACTTTAGCCACAGTCAGTGTTCACAGCGTGGTCAGTGGAACAAAGGGAATACTTTTCTGGTGATTAGACGTCATCTGCAGAGAGGGCTGGGATATTCATCCGAGGCCGGGTAAAAAACGCCATCTTCTCCCTGTGAAAGATCCATCCTTTTAGAGCAGGGATTTTCAACCTCACTCCACAAATATTTTGAGCAGGATCATGCTTTGTTATGGGGGCTTTCCTATGGATTCACTGTAGGGTGTTCAGCAACATGCCTGACTCTACCCACTAGATGCTCGTAGTATCCCTGGCCTCCAGTATGACACCCAAAACAGTATGGGCAATGCCAAATGTCCCGGGGTAGGGTGTGGGAGATATCCTCCCTGGTTGAGAACCACTGCTTTAGAGGACCCATTAGTGTAGCCAACCACTTTCAGTTCAAATCAGGGGTCCTCTTAGAGCTTAATAATTTTTTAGTAGGGGTCTCACTCTGTTGCTTAGACTGGAGGACAGTGGCATGATCATGGCTCACCCCAGCCTCAAACTCCTGAGCTCAAGTATCCTCCCTCCTCAGTCTCCTGGGAAGCTGGGATGTGCAACCACTCCTGGCTAATTAAAAAAATTTTTTTTGGCGGGGCTTGGTGGCTCAGCCTGTAATCCCAGCACTTTGGGAGGCCAAGGTGAGTGGATTGCCTGAGCCCACGGGTTCAAGACAGGCCTGGGCAACTTGGTGAGACCTTGTCTCTATAATAAATAAAAAATTAGCTGGGCATGGTAGCATGCACCTACAGTTCTGGCTACTTGGAAGGTTGAGGCAGAAGGCTCGCCTGAGCCCAGCACGTCAACGCTGGGGTGGCCATGAGCGTGTCACTGCACTCTAGCCTGGGCGATAGAGTGAGACTCCAACTCAAAAAAAAAAAAAAAAGTTTTTTTTTTTTGTAGAGGTGAGGTCTTGCAATGTTACCCAGGGTGACCTCGAACTCCTGGGCTCAAGAAATCCTCCCACTTCGGCCTCTCAAAGTTTAAAAGGGCTTCTGGACCACTTCCAGTGTTTGTTTTAGACTCTCAATTTGTTAAAAAAATTGAGAGATGCCCGAAGATGGTTATACAAATGACAGTACATTTTATTTTTGTTTATTTTGAGTCAGGGAATCACTCTGTTGCCCAGGCTGTAATGTAGTAGCACTGTGGCCTCACACTCCTTGGTTCGGGCGACTTCTGCTTTAGCCTCCTGAGTAGATAGGACTACAGGTGCATACCACCACACTCAGCTAACTTTAAAAAATTTTTTTGTAGAGATGAGGTCTTGCTATGTTGCCCAGGCTGGCCTTGAGCCCCTGGGCTCAAGCAATCCTCCCTCCTTGGCCTTCTAAAGTGCTGAGATTATAGGTGTGAGCCACCATGCCTGGCCCTGTTAGAGTTCAAAAGCGTTTCTGGACCACTTCGTTTGTTTTAGATTCTCAATTTGTTAAAAAAAAAAAAAAAAAAAATTAAGAGATGCCCAATCATGATTATACAAATGACAATATGTTTTAAATGTTTTTATGCCACAAAGGAGTGGTTTTATTCAGCACATACATAAACATGTGTGCCCCATCTCAGAAGACCAGAGGTCTAAATGCTTGGCCCTCTGCAGAGGAGAGGCCCTGGCCAAATGGCATTCAGGGCCCTCCTAGGATATGCACAGGTCCAGCACAGCAAGAAAGCACCTCTCTGGCAGGCAGTGGGCAAAGCCAGGGAGGCCCAGCAAGTATCCATCACACCTAGGACATTTATCATTCAGCCAACCTCTGCAATTACCAGGGATGGAAACACGAAGAGGAAGGCTGGAGCAGGTGGCTCCTTCATTAAATAAGAGGATCTGACAAATTGGCTCGAGTTGTATAGGATCTGATAAAGACAGCCGAAGCGAGAGCACCGCAGAGCCCACTGATCGTCATGAATGGCCTGGTGGGGGCGGACATGTGTCACAAAGGAAACTGGGGCTCTGTGAACAAGGCTGGGAGCGGTGAGACCTCGGGAAGAAGGCAGGGCTGTGGGCTGCTGGGGAAAGGGCGGGGGAGAGCTGGCCATGCCCCCACTTACCTGAAAGACTGCACTTCGGGGGGCTCCTTGCAGCTCTGGCCTCGGAGTCTGTGCACGTCCTTGGCGGCTGCCCTCATCATCTTGTCTGTCTGAAGCTCACCCTTGTGCTCCACTCGATCCACCTGTAGGGCAAAGCAAGGCAGGCCTTGAGCAGGACAGAGGGCCTCTAGGAGGGGGTGGGCAAGGAGAACTTGCTATCACAGACGAGGAGACTACTGCAGGAAAGGCCTCCCACTTCTGCTCCACCGTGGGGTCCACTTCATCAGAAGGAGAATGGGAGGCGTTCACGTCAGCTGTCCCAGTGGCTGGATTTGGGGGCCAGGGAACGGAATACCTGTGTGGGCCTGGGGAAGTGAGGAGATGAGGGTTGCCTGGTGAAGTGTGCGCTGATTCACATAAGCCTCAGGACACCTAGGAAGGTAGAGTGAATTATCACCTCTACCCTACAGACCAGGAAACTGAGGCTTGGGCATATTAAGAAATTTCTTTCTGGCCGGGCGTGGTGGCTCAGCCTATAATCCCAGCAGTTTGGGAGGCCAAGTTGAGAGGATTGCCTGAGCCCGAGGTCTCGAGACCAGCCTGGGCAACTTGGTGAGGCGTCGTCTCTACAATAAATTAAAAAATGAGCTGGGTGTGGTAGCACATGCCTGTGGTTCCAGCTACTTGGAAGGTTGAGACGGAAGGTTCACCTAAGCCCAGCACGTTGAGGCTGCAGTGGCTGCGAGTGGTGATCATCATGATCATGCCACTGCACTCCATCCTGGGTGACATAGTGAGACTCCAGTGGAAAAAAAAAGAAAGATGGGCAGGCAATGGGTCGGGTCAGTGTCCTGTCTCTATTCTATTAAAGTTGGTATCCTGGGCCGGGCTCAGAGGCTTAGCCTGTAATCCCAGCATTTTGGGAGGCCGAGATGAGTAAATTGCCTGAGTCTGCAGGTTCGAGACCAGCCCGGGCAACTTGGCAAGACCTCGTCTCCACAATAAATTAGCCGGGCGTAGTAGTACATGTCTGTAATTCGGCTTCTTGGAAGACTGAGGTGGAAGGGTCTCCCGAGCCCAGCAGGTCGACACTGGGGTGGCCATGAGAGTGTCACTGCACTGTAGCCTGGGCCACGGAGTGAGACTTCCAAAAAAAAAAGGTGCCCCACATAGAGGAGGTGCCCAATATGTCTGATGAATTGCATGATGAACACATGTGGACAGAAAGGATTGGCACAAGACACAGGGCCACGAGGTAAACGGGCCTTGCAGCCTGGTCTGGGGTTGACAAAGCTGAGTGGGCAAGGGGACTTCCAGATCCCTCTGCGGATGGGAACTGCTCTCCCCGCTCTGGGCTTCCTTCCCCTGACAGCACCAGGAGGCACTCACCCGTCTCTCCAGCATCCTCAGCAGCAGGCGGAAGCGCTCGTCCTCCCGCAGCCACTGCGGCAGCTCCTGCTCCCCGTGGCTCTTGGCTTGCTCCAGTTGCTCCTTGAGCTCCTTCAGCACTGAGATCTCCTGGGTCAGCTGGCTGTGCCAGGTTCTTGTGGCCTGCAGGTCCAATTCAAGGTCCAACGAGGTGCGGATCAGGCGCTCCGAGCGCAGGGACTTGACCGAGGAAGGCTGCGGGGGTGGCGATGTGATCGTTAGTGGAGCCCAGCCCGGTGAGCCCGCCCAAGCCCCTCTGGAACTCAAGTACCCTCCCTCATTTATCCATGGGCTTCCACTCCTGCTGAACAGGGCTTGCCCTCCCCCAGGAAGCCTACCTTCAGTTCTCCCACCTAGACAGCCCCTGTTAACTGTCCCAGGCACGGTGCAAGGCCCTTCCCTTCCCTGGCCTCATCTCATCTTCTCAACGACCCTGTGAGGTCCTGACTGCTATCATCTACACAGATGAGGTGGGCAGCGGTGAAGTCACACAGGTGTAAGTGGTCAAGCTGAGGATCTGCCCCAGGCACTGGCTGCAGCACCTGACCACCTACTCTACACTGCACCAACATCCACACTCTCAGTGATTCGGGTCACTATTCTGTTCTGAAGTTGTTTCCTCAATGCAGATCTGTTCGCTTTGGGAGCAGAGGTTATATCTTCCTGAGTGTGCTCCTATCACCAGCATCTACTGTTCCTGCTTTCCCAGTCTTACAGAAACAGAGTCCTTGTGTTCCCTTGGATCCACTTCTCTTCCTCTTTACTCAGGCCACCTGGTTTATGTGGGGGCATTAGGGACAGGAATTGACCTGAATCTGACAAATCAGAATCTCAGTGACTGGTTCAGAGGCATGTTATCTAAGCCCAGCCATTCATACTCAGTTCTGGCGCTGGACTGGGTACAGTGGCTAATGCCCGGAATCCCAGCTCTTTGGGAGGCTAAGGTGGGAGGACTGCTTGGGGCCAGGAGTTTGAGATCATCCTGGGCAGCATCGTGAGACCTCTGTTTCTACAAAAAAATTAAAATGTAGCTGGGCATGGTGGCACACGCCTGTAGTTCCAGCTATTAGGGAAGATTACTAGATTGAGGCCGCAGTGAGCTATGATTGTGCCACTACACTCCAGCTTGGGCAACAGAGTGAGACGCTGTCACTTTGTTGAACTACTTGAAAAGAAGTAATGTCTTAACACAGAGGTTGCCAAGTCAGCAATAAATAAAACCTGGAACTGATCATGGTCATCTTTACTATCATACGGGGTGACCCTGTTTCGGTTAAGCTATATGGAGGGAGCAGTATCATGAGAAGCCTGATGACATTGTTTCAACATCTGACTCAGTCCATGCCTGAAGGTAGCCCAATACCCTGGACTTTTCCAATAAATGAAACAATGAATTCCCTTTTTCATTTTTAAGAAATTTCAGGTAAGTATTTGAAGTATTAGGGTTGGGTTCCTTAGTTATCTGTATGTGAAAGATTCTGATTAATACAATAATTAACTCTCTTCCCATCAACAAAACCACTAATGATTAAAAAACCATAACTGGCTGGGCAGGTGGCCCACATCTGTAATCCCAGCACTCTGGGAGGCCAAGTGGAAGGATAACTTGAGGCCAGGAGTTCAAGATCAGTCTAGGCAACATTGTAAGATCTCATCCTGATTAAACAAAAACAAACAAAAAACAGTAATAATGACTGTGGGAGTCAGGAGTCTAAGGTAGCCCCCAAGATTCCCACCCCTAAAATACACACCCTGCAAAATCTCCTTCCCTTTGATGTGAATGGCATCTATGAATAAGATTTCATGCCCTCAACTAGGTCACTAATCAATTGACTTTGAGTTAATTCAAAAGGAAGATTATTCTGGGTGGGCCTGACCTAATCAGGTGAGTTCTTAAAAGATGAGCTGAGCTCTTCTTGGCTGGGATCTGCTGAAGAAGCAGTGCATGTTGCAGAAAGGGTCATGTGGCAAGGACCCAAGAGTGACCTCTAGGAGCCAAGAATGGATCCCCCATCTGCAACTAGCAGGAAAATGCAAGGAAGTAAGTCCTGCCAGTGACTAGAAGCAGTTTGGGTGCAGCTCTTCCCCTGATCAAATCTGCAGATGAAGATGCCGTCAGCCAACACTTAGAGTCCAGCCTGCTAAGGCCCTGAGCAGAGGCCTCAGCTCACCTGGGCCCGGACTCTTGATCCACAGAAACTGAGAGCTAACATATTTGTATTATTTTAGGCTGCTAAGCTTGTGATAACTTGTTATGGATCAACAGGGAACAAGTGCAGTGACCAAGAGAGAGCTGAGACATGGACAAGAAATGTCACCTTGAGACCCATCCCCACTCTGCAAGGCTGGTGAATATACAATGAAGGATATTAAACGGCTTAATGCAGGAGTTCTAGAATGCTCTTATAGAAGGGGTGAATGTCATCTGGTGTGTGCTTATGAAAGAAGCAGGCTTTCAAGAAAATCCAGAGAGTGTTCTATGTAACTCAAGTTCTCAGATTCTTCTGCTTTGCTCTGACATCCAGTCTCAGGAACTTGCTTGGGCAGGCTGCTCCAGTGGCGAGAGGAGGCGGGGACCACAGTGCCCACAGGCCCTGCCCAGCCTCTGAACTCCTATTCCTCAGAACCCAAGGGAAACATGGGCTCAGACCTACTACTGGGGGCTCCCTTAGTAAGTCATCCCCTTGGCTAAGGGGAAGAGAGGGAGGGGGAGCTCTCCTGGGACCTGCCTTGAGGGGAACTCTAGGGAATGCAGGGCAGCCAGGAGGAGCTCTAAGTGGCATTTCTACAGGGGCTGACCATGGAACCTCTTGGGGATCCTGTTAAAATACAGCTCTCAGGACCCCACCCAGTTGCCTGAATAGACTGTCTGGGAGCATGGCCTAACAACCTGTATTGTCAACAAGCTCCCTAGGGGGCCTCTTGGTGCTCCAGAGACAGGGTGCCAATGGAGGTCCCCATGTGGGCAGTTGGTCGATCCTGTCACCTGAGGCCATGCCCATGTTCTCCCACAGCTGGCACAATGTCCTTTCCCTGTGTACCCGCTCCCTCTTTACTTTTTCAACCTGCTGAGGGGTGGGGTGTCAGGCAACGGACTGGTTCCAGGTTCCGGCTATCGGCAGTCTGGTTTGTAGGAGAGTGGGTGCTTTCCCCTACTTGGTGCTGTCAGCTCTCTCTTTTCTCTTCATATTTTCTCTCTCTCTCTGGTCTCATTCAGATAATCTCCATATTCACTTTTGTTTTTCTTTCTTGCCTGTCTCTCTTTCTGAAATTAAGTTCTCTCACTGACTTTGATCTCTACCTGAAGATAAGGCCAAGTGTGCACACTTCTCATCTAACCTGTTTGTCATTGTATTAAGGTGACTTCTACCCTCAGCACCTTCCCCAATGCCCACATAGGCCTTAGAATTCACAAACTTCTGTTTGCATGTCCCATCATGCTTCTGCTTCTGCAAATTCAACAAGATAGAAGTGCTTTAAAGTCTGAGGTGGGGGCTGGGCGTGGTGACTCACGTCTATAATCCTACCACTTTGGGAGGCTGAGGTGAGAGGATCGCTTGAGCCCAGAAGTCTAAGACCAGCTTGGGCAACATAGCAAGACCTTGTCTCTACAAAAAATTATCCTGGTGTGGTGACGTGTACCTGTAGTTACCCAACTACACAGGAGGCTGAGGCAGAAGGATTGCGTGAGCCCAGGAGTTTGAGGCTCTGGTGAGCCATGGTTGGGCCACTTCACTCCAGCCTAGGTAACAGAGTGAGAGCTCCAACTCAAAAGAAAAAAAAAAAAAAAGTCCTTAGCCGGGTGTGGTGACTCACACTTGTAATCTCAGCACTTTGGGAGGCAGAGGCGAGAGGATTGCCTGAGTCCAGGGGTTCCAGACCAGACTGGGCAACTTGGCGAGACCTCGTCTCTACAATAAATCAAAAAATTAGCTGGGCATGGTGGTATGTGCCTGTGGTTTCAGCTACTTGGAAGGCTGAGGCAGAAGGATCATCTGAGCCCAGCAGGTCAAGGCTGCGGTGGCAGTGAGTGTGCCACTGCATCCAGCCTGGGTGCCAGAGTGAGTCTACTACTCAAAAAAAAAAAAAAGTCCGACTTGGGGAGGGCCCTCTGCCCTCCTGTAGCTTGACTAGTCCAAGTCCTAATCAGTGTTGCTCCTTTGCCCAATGCCACCCCATCTGAATTCCTCTGCTGAATCCACTAGGAAGGGTGAGACTTCCATAGGAACACCAGTGGCCTCTTCCCTGTGCATTTCTAGCTGGTCTGAGAGAAGCTTCTTTGCACCTCCTGCCTCCAGTTGGTGCTAGAAGGCACTGGCTTCTCTGCTGGCAGGGAGGGCCGCCAGAGCCCAGACGATGCAACCCACAGAGCAGGGTCTTGGATGAGGGAGGCTCCCATCAGACCACACTCTCTAATTGGTGACTGTGACATCCTGAGTTGCTAAGTTCTCACTGACTTTGACCTCTACCCAGGAAGACAATGCCAAGTGTGCACACTCCTCATATAACCTACTTGTCATTGTATTGAGGTGACTTCTACCCCCAGCATCTTCCCCAGTGTCCAAACAGGCCTTAGAATTCAAACTTCTGTTTTCAAATCCCATCATGCTTGCAAGAGCAACACTCTGCAGACAGTGGCTGACGGGAAGTGGCCAGACACCAGGGGATGCATGTGAAGGACACAGGGCTCGGGGAAGCAACGTGGGACACACAACAGTTTCTAGGGCACTCTCTTACCCGCTTCATCCGGACGCTGCGTCGCTCCAGGGAATTTCTAACAAAAGGTGGTTTTTTGGACAGAGTGGAGCTGTCACTATCACTCCGGTTCAGCTGCAAGAGAAAAGTCATGGGATATTAAACGTGGTCCAAGTGCATTCTGGAAGGTGCACAAAGGCCAGGGATAGGTCGGGTTCCCCCAGTCAGCCTAGTCCTTCCTCGCCTTGTGCAAACACCCAGACTTTCCTACTCCTTTCATTCTGACCTTTCCTTTCTTCCTAAGTGAATGTCCACTGAGCATGTAATAAGTGTGCTGCAGGCTGCCATGTCTCCATGCCAGTATCTGCATGATGCTAGATGGGATTGCAATATCCCACTGAGTCTTTCTAGCAACCCATGTGGATGAGCACCCCCATCACACAAACGGGGAGACAGAGGCTTAAGGGCTATGAAACTGACCCAAGGTTGGCGAGCTGGTCAGCAGCACGGCAGGTTGGATACCAGGCAGCGTAGACTTCAGGGGATGCTACCCCCTTGATCTACCACACAAAGGGCTGTGTGCATTGACTCTTCCTGTCACCTACAAAGCACACCTTTACTGACGCAAAAGAAGCCACTGACAAGATTGATACTTAAAAAAAAAAAAAAAAAGGTAGCTCTAAGGCAAAGCCTCAGGGACTATATCCTTGGAGAACACGGGCACGGGAAGGCTGTGCTGACCACCACTCTCCCGTCATTCCCTTCAGTCACTGAATTATTTATGCTTCCCCAAAAGGGCTAATGTTTCCCATTCAGCACCAGAAATCAGGCCTACGGTCAGGATGAGATGCGTTGTTTTTTTTTTTGAGTTGGGGCCTCACTCTGTTGTCCAGGCTGGAGGGCAGTGGCACAATCATGGCTCACTGTAGTCTCAACTTCCTGGGCTAAAGTGATCCTTCGGCCTCAGCTTCCTGAGTAGCTGGGACTACAGGTACATGCCACCATGCCCAGCTAATTTTTTGATTTTTTTTTTTTGCTAGAGATGGGATTTTGCTATGTTGCCCAGTCTTTTCAAACTCAGGTTCAAGCAATTCTCTTGCCTCAGGCTCCCAAAGTGCTGGGATTACAGGTGAGAGTCATCACACTCAGCCGAGATGGGATGCTTTTATAGAGAGTGTGTCCCACCCAGTGAGGAGCAACAGACAGAGGGGCTGGGACTATAGCAACTCTGGGAGGTGAGTGCAGGGTGGGGGCTTCTTTTTCAAGTCCTACTTGAAAGTCGGTGGGGTTGCCACAGGCTGATCCTGTCTGGCAGCTGTGGGTTCACTACTGCAGGTTATTCCTGAGAAGCTGCTAGTTTCATCATTTCTGTGATTATAATTATTCATGAAAATGACATTAGTAGCCCTGCTAAGCTGATAAACACAGCAACCCCAGGGATGTAACTGACAAAATAGCCACTGTGCTAGGCAGGGCCTCAACTGGACCCAGAAATAGAATAATAGTAAAAATAATGACAGACACATGGATGGAGCTCCTCCTACATGCCAGGTGCTTCATTAATAGCTTCTTTTAATTTTTGTTCCTTCTTTTCTTTTTGAGTCAGGATCTCACTCTGTTGCCCATACTGGAGTACACTGGCATGATCATGGCACACCGCAGCCTCAACCTCCTGGGTCAGGCAATCCTTCTGCCTCAGCCTCTTAAGTAGCTGGGACTACAGGAATGCACCCCAAATGGTTTCATTTAATTCTCAAGCAATCCTAAAAGGAGGGAACTGAGATCCAGAGAGACTCAAAACTTCTTCAAGTAGAACAGCTGGGAAGCATCAAAGCCAGAATTCAAGGAGTGTGATTCCAAGGCCATGCCTTCTCCTGGTCCCAGGCTGCAGGTATAGGGGTGCACCATCTTCATAACTACAGTGGATTCATATAAACTGACTGGCTGCATGTAGTGTGAGAAGGGGGCTTTATCTTACATTGTTTCAATCCATAGGTGGCACTTGTAGAATATGTGTCCTACCAACCAGAAATAGGTATCAGGACAACCGCTCCTGAAGTCATAGGTGTTTGTGTTCAAGATCAGGTTACAAAAGAGTGATGAAAGTGACATTAAGTCCTTGAACTTAACTTTCTCCATGTAAAGATCTTTAATGTATTTAATCTCAGACACGTGGAGAGTATTGTCACCTCGTTATTACTTCCATTCAATAGCTGGGTGACATGATTTGAAGTCACAGGGAGCTAGTTCAGTAATGTGGATTTTGGAAGGCTGAGGTGGGAGGATCACCTGTAACCATTTGGCCAAAGTGGGTCAACCAACACATGCAACAGCTTTGCAGATAAATACATAGGTGTCACTCACAATCCCTACCTCACGGCCTTAAAAGTTTAGCATGGGAGACCAAGTTAGGGAAACTAACACAGGTTATGCTGAAGACCAAACAAGGGAACGACTCAGCCCAGGATACTTTTTGTGTAGAAGTGTGACGTCAGGAAAGTGGATGGGCCTTCTCACAATTAGACTTGAGGAGGCTGAAGGAAGTCCCTCAGGAGGTGGCTCAGGGCAACAGAAAGGCAGCAAGTTTTGGAGTCAGACTCCCAGTTTTGCACTTAGGACCCATGTGACCTAATTAAGCAAAGTGCTTTGATTTTTTGAATCTCAGTTTTTGCATCTATGAAATGGGGCAACATGATTTGTCACATGGGGTTATTTGTAAGATTAGATAAACATATCTAATCTTTATATATAGTGCTGCTGATTAGCCTTGAAAATCCCATCCTATGAGTGGGGAAACCCCACCTTGTGACTCTTGGTAGGAAACAAAGCCCACCTCTCACCAATGAAGCTGATAGTAGCAGAGCCTTGCTTTCATGGCCTCTCTTGCAGCTAGTGGTAGACACAGGGCTAGGCTCTGTCAACTGGATGCAACTGCCCCAGGCTCTGAACCACAACCTGGTTAGCTGGACCCAATTCTGTTACTATGACTCCTGGATTTAAACAAGCTTTGAGGGCGGGCACAGTGGTTCATGCTTACAATCTTGGCACTTTGGGAGGCCGAGGTAGGGGGATTGCTTGAGCCCAGGAGTTCAAGACCAGCCTGGGAAACATAGTGAGACCTTGTCTCTACAAAAAATAAGCCACGCATGGCGGCACATGCCTGTAGTACTAGCTACTTGGAAGACTGAGGCAGGAAGATCACTTGAGCACAGGAGTTGGAGGCTGCAGTGATCTATGATCGTACCATTACACTCTAGCCTGGTGACAGAGTAAGACCTTGCTCCTCAGAAAAATAAAGAGCAGAGGTCATGTTCTACAGCAGCATGTGTGATAGTGTCACCTGATTGGCTTTGTGGTATGACTTTGGCCGTGGTCAGGTCTGCCTTGTGCCTACCTGATTTCTAAGGCTGGTTCTATAGCCTGAGGATGAATACATGAGCTACTCAGTTTCCTTTCCAGAAATGTCTTTCCTGCATCTGCTGCTCACAGTCTGTTTCTGTTGCTTGCAAAGAAAAGCCCTGATTAGTACAGGCGGGAAGTGAGTGCTAACAGTCAGACTGGAGCACACAAGCCGGCTGTATGGAAGAAGGGATTGAGGCACAGCACAGCCCTGGTGTGCCCGCTAGGAATTTGCTAATGCTCATTTTATGGGTGCAAAACAGAGAGTTAAATGGAATTTTTTCTTTTTCTTTTTCTTTTAAAGGTGCTGTTTCACTCTTGCACAGGCTGAAGTGCATTGGTATGATCATGGCTCACTGCAGCCTCCAACTCCTGGACTCAAGTGATCTTCCTGCCTCAGCCTCCTGAATAGCTGGGACCACAGGCATGCACTACCACACTCAGCTAATTTAAAATTTTTATTTTGTAGAAATGGGATATTGCTATGTTGCCCAGGCTGGTCTAGAACTCCTGGCCTCAAGTGATTCTCTGGCCTTGGCCTCCTGAAGTGCTGGAATTACATGCATGAGCCACTGCGCCTGACCTAAGTTGTTACCTGTTATACCTTGGGAAATAGACTGCATTCTTATAGAGTTTAGGGGCAATGATAGGAAAACATTCAGGATGTTGTATGGTTGGCTCCTTCTTGAAGCCTTCAGTAAGATTTTATAAGAAAGAGACAAGCTTTAACTGAAGTGCGCCATTGGAAAACACAGAAAACACTTGGCTAAGGTTCTTTCTACCTGTAGCCTGTGACCTATGTTGACTGGATAGCTGTTAACTCGTGATCTTGTAGGGAGGGAAACTGGCACAGACACATGAAATTCCCAGCACAGTGCTTGGTGCATTATAGATACTCAGTACACAGGACTGGAGCTTCTTGTTATTCCAGGAGGCCAATCCTGGGAAAGGGCAACTTAAAAGCAAATGCATTTAAGCAGGGGACCAGAATTGTATAGTCAACGTTGGGAAAATGGTTTGAGTCTTTAGATGGCAAAGAGAAACACTTCACCAGAGGTATTCTATTTTATGTCTTCTATTTCATAAAAGTGCAGCCACATTCTAATCCTGATGCAAAAGAATGAATGAAACACTCATTTCTCTTGGTGTGACTTTTCTGGTGAGTGACATTCTTCTCTTTGTGTTTGATTTCTATTGCACATTCCTAATGGCAATGATTGCAAAAAACAGTGGGGTTTTGCCCATTATCTTTTTTTTTTTGAGTTGGAGTCTCACTCTGTCGCCCAGACTGGAGTGCAGTGGCCGCTCCCGGCCACTGCAGCCTCAACCTGTTAGGCTCCGGTGATCCTTCCACCTCAGCCTTCCGAGTAGCCGGAATTACAGGCATGCGCCACCACGCCCCGCTGATTTTTTCATTTATTGTAGAGATGAGGTCTCGCTGCCCAGGCAGGTCTCGAACCCGCAGGCTCTGGCAATCCACTCACCTCAGCCTCCCAAAGGCGCGGGATTACAGGCTGAGCCACCGAGCCCGCTTGCCCATTATCTTAAGGGTTTTTCTAAATCCTTCAAATTACACACATCTAAAGCACTGATTAGATTTTTCTCTTCTGCAGTTGAGAGCTGGCTTAATTGCAAGATCCTCTATCGATCTGGGAATCACCCAACATGATCAGTGCCTTCGTAAAATCCTGTACCTTTTACAAGATCTGCAGCCAACATGCACAATGCCTGTATTATCTTTTCAGGTGCTTACAAGCTCCAACAGTGAGCTAGATAATGACTACAGAAGGGGCAGCGGCTACATTATTCCTGGGAGAGACTGCAGGGAGTGTTTTCATGGGGACTAATTTGATAAGTAGCTAGTCAATTAGTGAAATTTTCATGTTATGAAGAAATGAGCTGTTCTACCTGATCTTGCTGAATGCTCAGATATTGAGAGGGGCCCTCCCTCACTATCCTCCTCTCTCCATAACAGTCGTCAAGTCAACAGCAGGCTGAGGATGCAGGATGGGGTCCACTGGCCCTTTCTGTGCTGACCCATTGGAATACTGGGCAGGAAGGTGCTGCTAATGCCCCTAGTTATAACTTAGTGGTTCTGTATGTGGAGGGGAAGGAAAGATACTGATAAATCAAGTGAGTCCAGGGCTCAGGTAAGATTTGCACACATCTGATTTGTGCTATCCTGGGGTCGGGAGCAGGGGCTGGTCTGTAGCCCCCGCAACCAGCACAACCACTCCTATGTGTAAGCACTCAGACCTCGAGGGAAGAGGTACTGGCCCGGGAAGGGGTAGGCGAGGTAGACAGCCAGGTGTGGAGGAATGAAGGCCACTGCAGGGCTTGTTCACTCCAGGGGGGCCTATGTGAGCAGGTGGGCCACAGGATGAGTAAAGAGGGTCAGGTGGAGGCCAGAGTGGACTTGAAAGTGCTCCACTTCCATCTGCGAAGGGCAGCCGCCCCCACTGGTCAGTGCCAGTCTGTGGTGCCAGATAGTCTTTTTGGTTCAAGAGGAACTGAATTTTATGCCACACTTCTCCATTTTTATTTTATTATTTATCTGTTTTTGAGTCAGGGTGCCGCTCTGTGGCCCAGGCTGGAGTGCAGTGGCACAATCAGGGCTCACCACAGACTCTACTTACTGAGGTCAGGTGATCCTTCCGCCTCAGTGTCTCAAGTAGCTGGGACTACAGGCATGTGCCACAATGCCTGGCTAATTTTTTGATTTTTTAATTTAACTTTCTGTTTTATTTTTACTTTTAAAAAAATTTCTTTATTAAAGATGTGGGGTAAAACTCAGGGTTAGGTATACAAATATTCATTATGCAGGTGTACTAGTTTTTTTACTTTTTATAGAGATGAGAGCCTCATTATGTTGCCTAGGCTGGCCTCAAACTCCTGGGCTTAAGTAATCCTCTCGCCTCAGCCTCCCAAAGTGCTGAGATTACAGGTGTGAGCCACTGTGCCCCACATTTTTACTTTACTTTTTTTTTGAGTTGGAGTCTCACTCTGTCGCCCAGACTGGAGTGCAGTGGCCGCTCCCGGCCACTGCAGCCTTGACCTGCTGGGCCCCGGCGATCCTTCTACCTCAGCCTTCCAAGTGGCCAGGATTACTGGCATGCGCCACCACGCCCGGCTGATTTTTTGATTTATTGTAGAGATGAGGTCTCGCTGCTCAGGTGGATCTCGAACCCGCGGGCTCAGGCAATCCACTCACCTCAGTCTCCCAAAGGCGCGGGATTACAGGCTGAGCCACTGAGCCCGGCTTTTACCTTACTTTTTAATTGCCTTTTAAAAGTTTTAAATGTTAACAAGTTCAATGAAAAAATGAAAAAAATAACCTATAGCCAAATAGCACAGGGCTGTTGTCATTGTGCAACCTCGGGCTGCATGCTGGAATTGCCCTAGATGTGGAGAAGAAACGCCTGTGCTGGCTTGGGGACCCGGGGCATGGCATCCATCCTAAGGGAAGAGGAAGGTGCCACGCGCTTGCTTACCCGGCATACGTACTGGCTCTGGGGTCCAGGGGAGAAAGTCTTGGAACGGATGATGGTGCTCCCTCGAAGAAATGGCCCTGCAGATGGGGTGCCCACCCGCCGATCCTTGGGCCGCACCACTGTGGGGGATGGGGACGGGGTCTCTGTGTTGGTCTCTTTGTCTACCTGAGGAAGACATCACAGTCTTGAGGCCACCAGTGCCCACAGAGTCTCAGCCACCCACCCTGAGACAACTCAACTCCTTCTCACTCCTGTCACCTCACCTTTTGCCACAGACACAGTCACAGTGGTGCTAGACTAACTCAGTCCAGTGAGCTGGGACAGTGCCCAAGGCCAGGAGTGTCGATGCCTCCCATTCTTCCATGACATGTGTGGCCGGGAGCTAGTAGAGAACATTCAACCCCCAGACAGACTCACATGAGCAGGAGAGGTGCCCCAAGCACCGATGTCCTGGATGGCACAGCCCCAAGACTTATGTACCAACCACCTTTTGACAAAGCTACATCCAAGGCCTCTACTGTCCTGGTCACAAACTGCAGATGCTTTCTTGGAATTATGGACACAACTGGCAAGTCTCATTTTTAAAACAAAGTCATCATGTTTTCTACTGTACATGCATAGTAGTCACCAGTAAGAGATAAATAAGAACACCTAAATGCAGGACTTTTTTGTTATTCTAAATAGGCCTTGGTGCAATTTTTGAGAGAAGGCACTTCTTCTGGCTGGAGAAATTGCAAAATGATGCCCCTTGGTATGGAGGAGCTAGAATAAGGGCCCAGGTTGTACCCCAGGTCCCTTGGTTGGGCGCCTCTGTGCAGTGCACCACCTACAGCTCCACTCCCAAGCACAGCAGGTGCTCTTGCCCTAGGGTCCTGGAACCAGCTGTCTACACAGAATGAATCCTGTTATAACACTTAGCCCTAGCATAGCAGGGAAGCATAGGCACAGGGAACTTGACTGGACTCCCTTTTCCTAATGCACTTTGGGCAGACCCAAATGAAGAAATACATTACTCTGGAGCCTCAGAATCCATCTGCAATGTTGGCTTTATTGTGCCCATTAATTAACTAATTTTGAGACAGCGTCTGGCTCTGTAGCCCAGGATGGAGTGCAGGGGCTTAATAACAGCTCACTGTAACCTCGACCTCCCAGGTGCAAGTGATTCTCCTGCCTCAGCCTTTCAGGTAGCTGGGACTACAGGCACATGCCACCATGCTTGGCTAAATTTTGTATTATTACTATTGTAGAAATGGGGTTTTGGTATGTTACTCAGGTTGGTCTCAAACTCCTGGACTCCAAGCAATCCTCCTGCCTCGATTTCCCAATGTGCTGGGATTATAGACATGAGCCACCATGTGCTGGCCTGTGCCCCTTTTAGGGGATGAGAAAATGAAGATTTGCGAGAAAAGCAGTCATCTTCCTAATACTACACAGCTAGGGAGCAGCAGACCCAGAACTGACTGAAATCTATCTAACTGCCAGCCTTCAGTTCTGTCCAGAGAAAACAGGGAAACCACGGAGGACAGAAGAGGAGTAAGTAAGCTTCTCTTGGGGTCCTGTCACTGAAGAAGGGCATGTGCACCTCCCCTGGGGCACTGTCACAGAAGAGGGGCAAGTATGCCTCTCCTGGAGCACTGTCACTGAAGTTCAGGCAGAAACACTCCTGTACACTGCTGGTCCCTCTAGCCTGAGTCTGGAGGATGAGGCCTGACTCTGAGCCTTTTCTGCCTGTATTGGCTCAAGAACCGAAGGCTGCTTCCCCAAGATGGCCCCTCCACCTCCCCAGCCCTCCCTACCTTTACCGCTGGGTACCCATCCATGTCAGGTGAGACTTTCTCAGTGAAGACGTCCTCCTCTCCCTCCTCCTCTTCTCCCTCCTCCTCAGCCACTGCATCATTCTCACTGTTCTCCTCGTACCTCCTGTTTTGACAAAGCGCTGTGGTTATCCACCAGAAACCAATCTACTGTTCACCTGCCCTGAAGTACAGTCAGGGCAGGGCTTTCAAGCCTTTTCATGATTGAGGACACATTAAAAAAAACACCCAACAATTTTAGTGAGGTATAACTTACATACAACAAAACGCATTCTCAGTGTACAGTCTGATTAGTTTTAACTAATGTACTCACCTGTGTAGCCACTACCACACTTGAGATACAGAAAATTCCACTGCCTCCCCAATTCCTTCCTACCCTTTCCCAGTTATCTCCTGCAATATGCAGGGACCACCGATCAGTTGTCATTATAGATTAGATTTTTCTTTTCTTTTTTCTTTAATTGGAGTCTCACTCTGTCATCCAGGCTGGAGTGCAGTGCAAGGCTCACCACTGCCTCAACCTCCTGGGCTCAAGCGATTCTTCTACCTCAGCTTCCTGAGTAGCTGGAACTATAGGTGTGTACCACCACGCCCAGGTAATTTTTAAATTTTTTTTATAGAGATGAGGTCTTGCTATTGCCCAGGCTGGTATCAAACTTCTGGACTCAAGCAATCCTCCTGCCTCACCCTTCCAAGGTGCTGGGATTACAGGTGTGAGCCACCATTCCTGGCAGGTTAGATTTTTCTAGATTTTTATATAAATAGAACCAGACAGTATATGCTCTTTTGTCTCTGGCTCCTTCTGCCAGCGTAACATTTCTGAAGTTCATCCAGGTGCTGCGTGTGTCAGCAGTTCATTCCTTTTTATCACTAAGCTTTGACTGGATGGATATATTGCAACTTTTTAGCTACTCATCAGTTGATGAATGTTTGGATCACTTCTGTTTCTTAGCAATTATGAATAAAGCTTCTACGGACATTCATGGAGAAGTCTGTGTGTATATGCAGGTTTTCATTTCTCTTGGATATTATATTAGTTTACTAGGGCTGCCAAAACAACACACCACAGGTTCGGTGGCTTAAACAACAGACGTTTATTCCTCACAGTTCTGGAGGCTGGGAGTATAAGGCCAAGGTGTCGGCAGGCTTGGATTCTCCTGAGGCCTCTCAGTTGGCTGGCAGATGGCCGCCTTCTTGCTGCGTTCTCACATGGTCTTCTCTTGGTGCACATACACCCCTAGTGTCTCTTTGTGTGCCCAAATTTCCTCTTATTATAAGGACACCAGCAGCAGATAGCAGACACTCTCGCTGCTGTCCTGCCCATTGTGCCCCTCACAATGTATCTTTCCTTTGATACTTTTACCTTTGTTAATTAAAAAAGAAATGAGGACACCAGTCAGACCTGATTAGGTCCTGTCCTCCCTGTAATGGCCTCATGTTAATTAAATCACCTCTTCAAAGCCTCTACCTCCATATAAAGTCATATTCTAAGGTACTGGAGGTTGGGGCTTCAACATATGAATTCTAGGGGGGGCCATACTCAGCCCCTAACAGACATATAGTCAAGAGACAGAACTACTGGGATATACAATAAGTGTCATCTTACCTTTTTCTGAAACCTACAAACTGTTTCTCCAAAGTGGTTTCACCATTTTGCATTCCTGACAGCAATGTTCTCAGACATCCACTTCCTCATCTCCACTTGGAATTGTTGGTCTTTATATTTAGTCATTTGATGGGTGTGTACTTGCATCTGATTGTGGCTTTAATTTGCATTTTCTTGATAAGAAACTCTTCATGCAATTATAGACTATTTTTGTGTGTGTGTGTGAAGCCTCTGTTAGACTCTTTAGCCCCTTAAAAATTGGATTGTCTTTTTATTACTGACTTGTAAGAGATCATTATATATTCTACAAACAAATCATTTGTCGGGTATACATATTACAAAGATTTTCTTTAAGCCTATGGCTTCTCTTCTTATTTTCTAAGTGGTATCTTCTAAAGAACAGAAGTTTCTGATTGTGATAAAGTCCAATTTATCCTTTTTCTCTTATGTCCTCAGAAATCTTTACCTACCAAAAGTTGCAAAGAATTCCTCTGATACATTCCTTCAGAAGTTTTAGTTTCTGTTTTTATGTGGAGCCCTATGACACATTTCAGATTAATTTTCGTACAAGATGTGAGATGAGTGTCAAAGCTTATTTTTTTCCATATGGACACCCCATGGTTCCAGCACCATTTGCTAAAGAGACTGTGCTTTTGGTGACAGTCCATTTCCCTTGGACTCCAGGATTGGAAGGATTTGGTGTGACAATGGACTGCATTTGTTAAGTAGTAATTTATCTCTATTTCCATCTTGACTTTTCAAAGACATACATAACTGCCTGGCTTCTGATCAGCATGAGACAGTGTTATCACACTGAGCTGAAAGAATTCCAGCCAAAAGCAGAGAATGTGACATCTAGATAGCAGGCTGGTGAGCCTGTGGGCAAACACATAAACTCCCAAAGGACTTTTCCAATGGAGAGAATACATTTTGGATTTCTACTTTCAACTGTGCAATTAAAATCTCCTTTCCTGTACAGAGATGGGGACTATGCCATAGAGGGGCCTTTGCTCTCCCTCCATGGCCCCAGCGGCCTCTCTACCTACTAATAAAAGTGCCTTTCAACATGTGAACACACAGGGAATCCCTTCACAAAGAGCTCTGGAGAAGCCACATTGGCCAGCATTTATTGAGGGCTTAAGAAGCTTTAGGTGCTAGGCTAGGCATGGTGGCTCAGGCTTGTAATTTCAGCATCTTGGGAGACCAAGATGGGAGGACTGCTTGAGCCCAGGAGTTCAAGACCAGCCTGGGCAATATAGTGAGATCTCATTTCTATAAAAAAAAGTCAAAAAAATTAGCTGGGCCTCCCAGCTACTCAGGAGGCTGAGGTGGAAGGATCGCTTGAGCCCAGGAGGGCAAGGCTGTGGTGAGCCGTGATTGTGCTCACCGCACTCCAGCTTGGGGTATCAGAGACCCCAACTCAAAAAAACCAACAAAAAACAAAAAAAGCTTCAGTGCTATGCTATGGCCTTACCACAGTACTGAATGAGATTATGCCCATCTTGCAGATTCAAAGAGTGAGGAGAAGAGGCCCAGCAGGCCTTGTCCAATGCCACAGGCTACATGGTGGAACCAGCCACTAGGCCCTCAACCACTATGGAAGTCTCTTCTGTTTGTAAATCTAACCTAAATAATCCAGGACAAGAAAAAAAAAATCTGCTCAATCTCAATTCCAAGAAGAAACATAATTAAAATAGACAATATCTTTTCACCCACTGGAGTAGCAAAAAAATTTTATATCTGATAATATCAAGTACTGGTGACAGTAAAGAGACAGGCTTATCCCTCTGGGGAATATAAATTACAGCAGCCAATTTACATCTGAAGGCAATTTAGCCTTATCCGTTAAAATTTTAAAAAGTACATATGCTTGATTAAGTATAGTCATTTGATTATATTGAGTGTCAGAGAGAGTGTAGCTTAAGGGTACTCTTAATCATTGCTGGCAGGAGCATTTTATTTTTTGAGTCAGAATCTCAATCTGTTGCCCAGGCTGGAGTGCAGTGGCACAATCATGGCTCACTGCAGCCTTGGCCTTCAGGGCTCAGGTGATCCTTTCTCCTCCCTCCCAAATAGCTGGAACTACAGAAACAAGCCACTATGCCTGGCTGATATTTTTTATTTTTTGTGGAGACAAAGTCTTGCTATATTGCCCAGGCTGGTCTTGAACTCCTGGACTCAAGCAATCCTCCTGCCTCAGCCTCCCAAAGTGCTGGAGTGATAGGCGTTAGCCACTGTGTCCAGCCAAAGAGTATTTATTAATAAAATCTTATTTGAGAACTGCTCTACAATATTTATTAAAATATGAAATATACACGCCCTGGGACCTAGCAACCTCACTTCTCAACATCTGCCCTAGACAAACACAAGTTCCCAAGGAGGCAAATACAAGGGTTCTTCCTTCTAGTCTTGTAATTATATTCTCCTATATTTTCTGATACTCTTGGTTTCGCTTGTGGGTCTTAAAAAAATTGAGTCTTCTGATTATTTGCTCTAAAGACACCTAAACAAATAAAAAGAGGGAGTTCCAGTGGCATGCTGGGCTTTGGGTGTTGAAGGGAACTGTCAATTAGAACAGAGAGGCAGCTATTTGGAGACCTCCGCCCATGACTCCAGCTGAGCAGGACAGCGAAGCCAGTTAACACCCCAGGAAAAGAAGCCCAGCTTGGGGGAATGCTGCAGATGGATGTACCCACCCCAGCAGCCTGGATCCCCAGGCTTCTTTGTAAGTCAGCGTCTGGGGGAGTTTGAATGGCAGGGGGTGGGGAGGAGGGGGCCACAAGGGGAGAAGAAACAGAAGGCAGTTGCTAGGAGATGGCTTGAAAAGGCTCAGCACAAGCTTGGAATTTGGTGGAAACCACTGATCTGGTGCCAGGGTTTTGGGAGACAGGTCCTGGGCCTGTTTCTGGCATCAGGCCTTTGCCTGTGTGATCCATGGCAGAGTATAGCACAGTAGTGTGACAGAGGGAAGGAGAGGGGGAGAAGGGAAGGGAGTTGGAGAGAGAGAAAGGAGATGGGGAAAGGTAGACTGGGAGGAAGGGAGAGAGAGAAGGAGGGAGAGAGAGAGAAGAGGAGGGAAGGAGAATGAGAAAGAGAGGGGAAGATGGTAAGGAGTAGGAGGGGAGTGGGAGGGAGGAAGAAAGAGAAAGAGGGAGGGAGGGAGATAGAAGGCTAGAAGGAGGAAAAAAGGGAGGAAAAAAGAAAGAGAGGGGAACATAAGAAAGGGTAGGAGGGGAGAAGGGGAGGGAGAAAGAGAGAAAGAGAGGGGAAGATGGGGAGGAGCAGGAGGAGAAAGGAATAAGGAGGAAGAAAGAGAAAAAGGGAGGGAGAGAGAATTTAGAGAACCCTTAAACAAACACAGGAACATGGAGAAATTCCAGAAGCCAGGAGCTCCTGGAATTCACAAGGAGACAGTAAGGGAGAAATGTGAAATAAGGAGCAGCAAACTGTAGCCTGGGAGCCAAATCCAGCCTGTGGCTTTGTTGTGGGCAGTCCAAGCTACAAATGGTTTTTATATTTTTAAATGGCTGAAAAAAGAAAATCAAAAGGAGAATGATATTTTATGAAAGGTGCAAATTATATAAAACGCAAATCTCAGGGTGTGTTAATGAAGTTCCAGCAGTGCCCAGGCACTGTCCTGGTCTCTGTGCTGCCCATGGCTACCTCCACTCTCCAAGGCAGGGGTGAGGAGAGGCAGAGTAGACAGCATTGACGGTCTGGCCCTTTCCAGAAATTATGTGCTGACTCCTGGAGCAAAAGATAGTAAGGGAGGGCACTTTTCTGAGGTCACATACATAATTTCAGGCTATCACAGAATAATTATTCAGAAGAGTTACTGAATGCTTCCTCTGGGTCAGGCTCCGTGTTAAGTGCCCATCACGCATAATTTTACTGAGATCTGCAAAATACTCCATGACACAGTGACTTAAAAAAAATTTTTTTTTTTTTTTGAGTTGGAGTCTCACTCTGTTGCCCAGACTGGAGCGCTCCCGGCCACCGCAGCCTCGACCTGCTGGGCTCCAGCGATCCTTCCGCCTCAGCCTTCCAAGTAGCTGGAACTACTGGCACGCCCTACCACGCCCGGCTAATTTTTTGATTTATTGTAGAGATGAGGTCTTGCCAAGTTGCCCAGGCGGGTCTCGAACCTGTGGGCTTAGGCAATCCACTCACCTCGGCCTCCCAAAGTGCGGGATTACAGGTTGAGCCCCTGAGCTCGGCCTTAAAATTTTTTTGAGTTGGGGTCTCACTCTGTCAGTCAGGCTGGAGTGCGGTGGCACAATCATGGCTCACGGCAGCCTTGGATTCCTGCATTCAGACAATCCTTCTACCTCAGCCTCTAAGTAGCTGGGACTGAAGCACAGGCGCCACCACGCCGGGCTCATAGTGGCTATTTTTTAAATCTCTATTTCACAGATAAGAAACAGAAGTTCAGAGCTGTGGTAATCAGCCCAGGCTGCACATCAGAATCATCCAGGGAGCTTTTTTTTTTTTTTTTTTGAGTTGGCGTCTTACTCTGTCACCTAGGCTAAAGTGCAGTGACACACTCACGGCCACTGCAGCTTCGACCTGCTAGGCTTAGGAGATTCTTCTGCCTCAGCTTTTTAAGTAGCTGGAACTACAGATGCACTCCACCATGCCCGACTAATTTTAGTGATTTATTGTAGAGACGAGGTCTCCCCAAGTTGCCCAGGCTGATCCTGAACCCCTGGGCTCAGGCAATCCTCTTGCCTAGGCCTCCCAAAGTGAGTTAAAAAAAAAAAATCCCGAAGTGGGATTACAGGTTGAGCCACTGTGCTGGGCCATCATCCAGGGAGCTTTCAAAACTTGCTCGTGGTACAATGAGGGCTCCCTTATCAGACGTAGGATCTGAACAAGGATCAGCACAAGGAAGTCTGCAAGGAAGTTGGCATCCTTATCTATCTGAATTTAAAGCACATGCAGTTAAGACCAACTTATACGTCCCTCCAAATGGCAAGATTCATAGGCTGTGCCACTTCCTAGATGGGAGTTTACCCTCTTCCTTTCCTGGTAGTTAGTAATGTTCCTTTTCTTTTTCCTAATAATAACTTTGACCATGTATGAGGGGGCACCAAAAAAAAGCCCTGGAATTTATTTACAAAAAATTATGTATTGCCGGGCTCGGTGGCTCAGCCTATAATCCCACACCTTTGGGAGGCTGAGGTGAGTGGATTGCCTGAACCCGCGGGTTCGAGACCCGCCTGGGTAGCGAGACCTCATCTCTATAATAAATCAAAAAATCAGCCGGGTGTGGTAGCGCATGCCTGTAATTCCGGCTACTCGGAAGGCTGAGGTGGAAGGATCGCTGGAGTGCAGCAGGTGGAGGCTGCGGTGGCCGGGAGCGGCCACTGCACTCCAGTCTGGGTGACGGAGTGAGACTCCAACTCAAAAAAAAAAAATTGTGTATTTATTCTTACATATTTAAACTTCACACTTTCAAAGCACTCTCCATTTGATGCAATATACCTATCGAGATGCTTTTTCCACTGCTCCAGTTTTTGAACTCGTCAATTTTGAATTTTGATGTCTTTTAGTGCTTCTGCCATTTTTTGTTTCACCTCTTCCACAACGGCAAAACATTTCCCTTTGAGGATTTTTTTTTAAATTGAGGAAACAAAAAAGGCGAGATCAGGTGAATAGGGAGGATGGGGTGTGAGGGTCATGCTATTTTTGGTAAAAAAAAAAAACCTGTTGAATACTCAGTGCAGTATGGGCAGGTGAACTCGTAAATCACCCATTGTGAAATGGGCAAACGTGTTGAGAGAATCTCCAAAATAAAATTCACTGAGTTGAACACAGCCTCTCACAAAAACACTAGCTGGTACACCGATGCCAGTGGGTTCCCAGAACATTTACCTGGTGGAGAAAGCTTGTACTACAAAGAGCCTACCCTCTAAAAAATAATTCTGGTTTTCTTTGGATCCCTCTTGTAGTGAGTGTTTACTATGTACTTTCTACTTAGTCTTCATCAGTGCCTTTTCCTTTAGACTTTTCTAGTCAGTATTATTTCCCCAGGTTTCAGGTGGGGCTCAGACAAGGTCAGAGTGACTTGTCTAATAGTGACACAAGATGTGGGTTTCTGTAGTGCTGTTCACGCTCTGCTACCTGACTTGAGTGCTAGAGACATGGAAATTCACTTTGGTTTCTAAAAATTCACTGGGTTGTACATTTAGGTGACCTTTCTGTATGTACATCATACTGCAACAAAAAGATTTAAAAATGCTACCAGGTACAGTTGCTCACACCTATAATTTTAGCACTTTGGGAGGCCAAAGTAGGAGGATCACTGGAGCCTAGGAGTTTAAGACCAGCCTGGGCAACATAGCAAGACCTTGTCTCTACATAAAATAAAAAAATTAGCCATGTGTGGTGATGCATACCTACAGTCCCAGTTACTTGGGAGGCTGAGGTGGAAGGATTACCTGAGCACAGGAGGTTGAGGCTGCAATGAACCATGAACTTGCCACTGCACTCCAGCTTGGGCAACAGAGTGAGACCAACTCAACAACAAAAAAGTCAAAAATGCTTTGCCTAATGTTATACAATAAATGATGAAGTCAGTATTCAAATCCCTAGTTGCTGGCATTGTTTCTTAAAGCATGTGATGAGAACTTTCTCATAATACAAGGAATTGTACAGCACTGAATCACACAGTGAGAAAGTTGTTGTCGTTTCAATTCTTGTTCAGACATTCTGATTACATCAAGGAGAAAGCTTTTTTGGTAGTAGCACATCTGGAGTGCTGTGGAAACACTTGCTCACCTCTCTTTTTAATAACAGGAGAGAAGACCTCAGGCTTAGCAAGCAGTATAGCTAGCTAGACTTTAATAACATAGCTTATTTTCATTATATTGAGTGTTCCACAGTTACTTGCCGAAGCAGACTTGGCTCGTGGCCTACCCAATAACCAGTCCTACTTTTTTCCTTAATAATAGAAACTTGATTTCTGTACCCAACTGACAGACCTCATTCACCAGTCTCCTTTGTAGGTAAGCAGGCTGAGAGGCTAAGCTTGGCCTATGAGAGGCAAGCAGCAGCTGCTATGTGAGACCTTCAGGAATGGTTAAAAGGTACAAGGCATACTCTTTTGTCTTTCCTCCTTCCTGATTGACACCTGCCTGATGACTGGTGTTATAGCAGCCATCTTGGATGTAAAGCAGCCTCAGTGATAGAGGTCACATAGTAAAGACAACAAAGCAGACAGAGAGGAGTCTGGGTTCCCAGTAACACCATGGTGCTGACAGAACTAGATTGCATTGGATTGCTTTCACCTGCTCTTCTTTTTCACAAAACAACTTTTTGAGACGGGGTCCCACCCCAGATAGGTCTCAAACTCCTGGGTTCGAGTGATCCTCCCACCTCAGCCTCTGGAGTTGCTGGGATTATAGGTGCACACCACCGCACCTGGCACCATTCTATTCTTTTTAAGTAGGGAAGAAATCAGCTTCTACCTTATTTATGCCTAATGTTTCCGCTCACTATTCCTAGCAGTCAAATGCAATTCCTTAATGAGGACTCTTTAATTAATGGTAAACTATACACAATTTCCATTTATAGTAATACAAAGCTTCTTATTTCTTTTTTTTTTAACCAAAATAAATGTCAGTACACCAAGTCAAATAACATTAGGTGTGTACTAGCATGGTTGACTCATGAGACACAAATGCCATGTTGGGAAGGGATTTGGGGAACCCCTATACTCGGCTATATTGCCTTGCTGCCTGAAGAGGACTTGTGAACAGAGAGGTTCTCGGTTTGCTTAGGGGAACCCTTCTCTTGGGTGCCTTGGAGTCTGGGGATCTCATCCCTGGGCCTGGGTACAGGGCCAGGCAGCTCCAGAGGCCCAAGGGTATGCTCACTCACCAGCTGTCTTCCAGAGTCTGCGTGCTGCTCCTTCCCTCCTGCCTCTTCTCAAGTTCCACCGCTGTCTGTTCCAACAGAGCAGACACAGCATCCTGCAGGAACAAAGGTCACTGGGTCACTGAGTACACTGTGGGTGCCACCCACCCCACCTGTCAGGAATCAGAGCATCACAAAGCTGTGATTCTTCCAGTGACCTGGTGGTCAGACCAAAGACCATAGTGGTCAAGTGTCTTGCCCAAGGTCACGGATACATTGGAAACATGTATCCAAACTTAGTTTCTCTAGCTGGCACTTCTCCAGAGTATAACCCCTGGATGTGGGGAGCTACTCAGCAGCATTTTGGAAGACAGCCAGATTTAGCAGTTAAGGGAGATAGAATTTCAGGTCTCTGATTGTAAGGAGATCATAGTGTCATTAGGGAGACCAACATCTGAACCATCAATAAGATAATGTGATAAGGACTAGGAGACAGACAAGTATTGGACATTTGGGACAACAGAAACAATGACAAAGCTGGGGGAGGGGTACATTCAGGGAGGAATGTACCTCCCTGAGGTACATTTTCTTCCAGGAAAGAGAACATCAATACTGAATGGTGCCTATGGTGAAAAAGCCTGTGTGACTTAAGGAAATTATTTAACCTTCCTGAGGCTCAGTTTCCTCTAATAACTACTAGAAAGGGTTGCCATGAGGACTGAGACTCTCTGTAAGGAACAGATAAGAGTACCAGCACATACTTGGCACCCAGTGAAGAGCAGCCAAGACCAAGGCAAAAACAAGATCCTGTCACTTTCTGAACACAGGGTTATTTTGCAGTTACCCTTGGTCGTGTGTGACGGAGCCTGGATTAATTGCCGAGACTGCCTTTTAGAGAAGGAAAGAGGGAACTAATGAGGACACTTTAATTAATGGTAAGCTATACAACTGCCAGGCCCCATGGAAGATGACTTCCATGTAGCACCCTCTTTCATCTTTACAACCATCCTGATAGGTAGGGATTATTACAGCTTCCTTGATAAATGGGAAGGAAGGAACTAGAGTATCTAGGGTTGATGTTGCACACCCAAAGTCAGGCTCCAGGAAGGAGAGGAGTTTATTTTCAAGACCTTGGCCAATTCACAGTCTCTTTTCTGGAGTGAGAAACATCTGGGTTTGAGACTTAGCTTTGCTGCTTATTAGATGTATGTCTTTTGTTTGTTAGCTTTTTGAGTCAGGGTCTCACTCTGTTACCCAGGCTGGAGTGCAGTGGCACAATCCTGACTTACTGCAGCCTCAACCTCCTGTGCTCAGGTGATTCTTTTGTCTCAGTTTCCTAAGTAGCTGGCATGCCATTGCCACACTTAATTTTTTTTTTTTTTTTTTTGTTGAGGTATTGCTATGTTGTCTAGGCTGGCCTCCAACTCCTGAGCTCAAGTAATCCTCTCACCTTGGCCTCCCAAATTGCTGGGATTACAGGCATGAACCACCATGCCTGGCCAGATGTATGCTTTAACGTCATTTGGTGAACCTTTATGAGCCTTGGTAAACTGCACATAATAAATAGAACAGTGCCTGACACAATAGGAAGTACAGAAAATGATGATCATGATGATGAAAAAGAAAGTGCGGTGGGGGAGGGGAGAAGGAGGAGGAAAAAAGACCCCATTCAATCCTTATCTCTATGTATGAGCCAACCCATTCCCTCCTTTGAAATTCTGGACAGTGACTGTCCAAAATAATCAAGTACTGACATAAGGAAGAATCACTACAGAGAATTACAAGACAGCCTGAATTCCAAACACTCTAGTTTCGTTTTTGAAGTGGTGAGGATTCCACAGGATTCCTATACTGTGCATGCAAGGGTGAATGCACTGCTTAACCGAATCTTGGTCAGTCTACCTGGCCAGTAGGTGTAGACTTTCCAAATGCAAGAGACTGTTTAACGATATTTTCAAAGGCTAAATTATGCTGCACTAAAATGAAAACAATACATATATATAGATTTTGAGTTGGAGTCTCACTCTGTCGCCCGGGCTGGAGTGCAGTGGCATACTCACGGCCACCCCAGCCTTGACCTGCTGGGATCCGGTGATTCTTCTGCTTCAGCCTTCCAAGTAGTCGGAACTACAGGCATGCGCTATCACACCTCGCTAATTTTTTATTTATTGTAGCGACGAGGTCTTGTCAACTAACCTATGGGCTTAGGCAATCTACTCGCCTCGGCCTCCCAAAGTGTTGGGATTACAGGTGGAGCCACCAAGCCTGGCCAATAATATGTATTTTTAACTGAAAATAGACAAATGTAAGATTTACAAGTAACTCAAAATAACAGAACGGTTACCATTTGTCAAGACTTCCCCAAGTGATCCTTAGATGTATTTCTTCAAAGCGTCACAACAACTTTTAAGGCTCATATTAGACATACAAAAAAAAATGGAGGCTTGGAGAGGTGATAGGACTGACCCCTGTTACCCAGTCCTTTGACTCTCTTTCCTGTGACTTCCCGCTGCCTCCTTTTTTGATTTAGGGTCTCACTCTGCTGCCTAGGCTGGAGTGCAGTGGCACGATCACACTCACTGTAGTCTTGGAACTCTGGGCTCAGGTTATCCACCTGCCTCAGCCTCCTGAGTGCTGGGACTACAGATGCATATCACCATGCCTGGCTAATTTTGGGGTTATTTTCTTTTTTTTTTTTGAGTAGGAGTCTCACTCTGTAGCCCAGACTGGAGTGCAGTGGCCGCTCCTGGCCACCGCAGCCTCCACCTGCTGGCTCCGGAGATCCTTCCGCCTCAGTCTCCAAGTAATTGGAACTACAGGTACGCGCTACCACGCCCCGAAAATTTTTTGATTTATTGTAGAGATGAGGTCTTGCCAAGTTGCCCAGGCGAGTCTCGAAACCGCAGACTCAGGAAATCCACTCTTCTCAGCCTCCCAAATCACGGGATTACAGGCTGAGCCACCGAGCCCGGTTTATATGAGATTTTTTAAAAAATATTTTAATAATACAAAGAACCAAATTCAATGTCTCATACAGTATTTGATTTAGCCAACTTTCAAAAATTAATTTTTATTTCTCTGCAAGGTTTTTCAATTTGTAAAACATCTTTTTTGGAGTCTGAAATCAGAACATATACATCTAATTTAAAGCAAAGACCTTTTTATAATTATTCCTTCATTTATACTTTTTACAATTCAGAACAATCATTCCACATTTAGTTTAAAAACAAATGCAAAAATGAGAATTCTATTCCCTGATATTGTAAAATTTTTAGAGGCATTTGTATTCATTTAGGTGCGAA